ACAAGCGTGCTACAGGTATAGATACAGGTATGTATTTTTTTTGCCTCGCTAGCCAACACAGGAATTTCAAAAACGGAAACAGAGTGAAGTCTTCAAGGGAAAAATTCATATAAAATAAAGAAATAACAGATATAAATGACAGACAAAATACAGTTTTTTTGAAAGTCCATCTATAAGTTGTGGAATATTAGGAAATGTAAATAAAGTTTTAGACATTTATCGTAGATAAAGTTAACATCACTTTTTAATAACCAAAAGATGAACAGTTCTAGTATTTTATAAAAAATAAGTAGTTTATTAGAGTGAGTGATTGGATCCTCTGAATATACTTACACAGTGTTTACACATAAATAGTAAGCTAAAAAACAAAAGTAAAGTTAGGCGTGGTTTTAGATAGATGGTAGCAGCTCTGTTATATTGAGTATAACTTTTTAAATTCAGCATTTAACAGCCATGTTTCCTGGTGTGTGATGACAGTTACAGCCTCAAAGAGCGGCTCCATAAAGAGCGGGCAGGGATAGCTCAGTAGGTAAAGCAGTTGCCCCGTGATCGGAAGGTCAGGGGTTCTAATCCCCTGAACGGCTACCCTGAGGTACCCTTGAGCAAGGCACCATGCCCACACGCTGCTCCCCAGGCGCTGCACTGGTGGCTGCCCACTGAGTGAATGGGTTAAATGCAGAGAAGAATTTCCCCACGGGGATCAATAAAAGTGTACATTATTATTATAACTTTAAGTTGTTTGAACAGGTAGGGTCTTATTACGGACTGCTTTCTTAAAACAAACTGTCATTCTGACTTGTTTTGATTGTTTACATCCACACACACGCTTTTGTGCGCTGCCTCAGATTCGTACAGATAGTGCTGACTGAATGGACTGAATTGCTGTTGAATGCATTTGTGTAACAGTGTTATAATAATCATCACAATGCAACTGCTGTTTGTACATTCTTCATATCAGTCAGCATTCTTGGTTAGACTTGTCAGAATAAACAAAGGAATCCTGCTCACCGTGTAGGCAGATAACAGAGACGTTGTTGACGTAATACTCATTCGAATCTCCTAACATCACTGCATCATAGATATCGGATATTTTCCTTTCATTCTGTATCATCCGTGACCTTGAGACAGGCTTCTTTGCTCTCTATTCTCCACCTGACAACTGCAAAGACAACATCTGCTTTTAGAGAAATTGCTATTGATCCCCAGTTTAGCTTCCCGGCCCATCTCTACTCTCTATGCCAGTGTTTGTCTTGAGTCTCTGACACAGGCCTTATGTTACAGCACAATATAATGCATCCTTCTATCTCATTTCATTTATTTTATGTGATAGTTGCCTTGTTTTTTTTCTTCTTCTCTGTATTTCTGTGTAGGGATGCATTTGTGCTCGCTCTCATCAACAGTGGAACCAGTTTCTTTGCCGGCTTTGTGGTATTCTCTGTGCTGGGTTTCATGGCTACAGAACAAGGAGTGGACATCAGTAAAGTAGCCGAGAGTGGTATGAATACACCTTCCCCCCTGAAACGCTGTGCAATTTGTATTAAGTAATAAGCATCACCAGTGAGAGCCACATGTCCACAGTGATGGCTCTGTTTCTTAATGTGCAGGTCCAGGCCTGGCCTTTATAGCCTATCCCAAGGCTGTGACTCTGATGCCTCTGGCACCGCTCTGGGCAGCACTTTTCTTCTTCATGTTACTCATACTGGGGCTGGACAGTCAGGTACTAATGACTGACTTTCCTTTATATCATAATTTTGGAGAAAGAACTCATCTTACACAAGATATATGCTAATTTTTACTTGAATCTTACGTGCTTTTATTTTTTGGTGTCAATCTAATTCCTTCTCTTTTTCTATCATTCTTCCATTCACCAAAGAGAGACAGAAACACCCTGAAAAACCAGTTTTAGGATTGCATTTCTCAGCTGCCTGTTTGTTGTGTGTCTGTTTGAGCCACTGCCTACATCCATTGTTTTACAGCCCAGGGATTCGTCAATGAGCTTCTGTGTGATTCACACAGAGAGCGTCTGTCTGCTCTCCATTCATTTACTCTCACTTTCAATTCTCTCCCTTTTCTTTCCCTTCTTTTTTTTTTAACTGGCATAGCCTATGAATATCCTGCCATCTCTGTTAAATAATGTAAAAATAGCTTCGCAGCTGTTATCTGCTCCACTCTTTATGGTTGCTGTAATATGTTTCGAAGAGATACGCATAAGCATTCTTTAACAGGGAGACGGCTCATGATAAAATGCTCACTTGCAAACTTTTAAGTGTCACTTCACTGCATCTGATGTACAACGATTGTCTGAAAGAGGAGTTTATAGAGTAGTTGGTGGGATGACACAGCGTCCACCTCTGTACTGGAAACAAGAACTAGCTCATTTCTGCACCTTTATGGATATTTTTGTGTGATATTTAATGTGTCTGTGATATCAGACAAAAATACTAACACACACAGAGTCGAAGAATTCTCATTCACTTTTGTTCCTCTACGTTCCCTCTTTTTCATTTCCAGTTTGTCGGGGTTGAGGGTTTGATAACGGGAATCATGGACATGCTGCCCCCAAAATCTGCCCTGGGCTCGCTTCGGCGAGAGGTAGTAGCTGCCATCTGCTGCATCATCTGCTTCCTCATTGACATGTCCATGGTTACTGAGGTAAAGTCAAATTTTTGACTAAATGTCATTTAGTTGTATTCTTCAGAATTAGGTATTTTTCTAGTTAGCTATTTGTAGATTACTAATTATTCTAATTAGGTAGATTTAATTTCTTACCAGTCTTGTAGTAAAGATAAGTGTCCTTTATGGAGCTTCTCAAGATTTGCATCATAACCTCCTTTTACTAATAATAAAATGTGCTTGTTGGAACTTGTAATTGGAACTGTAAACCACTCTTAGAAACCAACTGCTCACATATTGGCCCTTTTAGCCTTGTACCACTGCTGTGCTCCTAAATTTGTTAGAGTGAATGCATTCTGTCATTCAGACGTAGCTTTCACTTTAGATTTGTGGAAAGATTAACGGAAGGAACTGCATGTCTGAAATGGGTTATGAATTATTAAAAGGATGGTTCTGATGGTCTTCTGCTCTCACCGTTTCTATCAGGGAGGGATGTATGTCTTCCAGCTGTTTGACTACTACTCTGCCAGTGGCATCACATTGTTGTGGCAGGCCTTCTGGGAGTGTGTGGTGGTTGCATGGGTGTATGGTGAGACAGCGCTGCACAAACACAGCACAAATTATACAAACTGCACTGTCCAGGGCATTCTCACAACATCCTTACATTACCCTGTCAGGCGCAGACCGTTTCATGGACGATGTGGCTCGTATGATCGGCTATCAGCCCCTACCCTATATGAAGTGGTGTTGGTCCTACATCACACCTTTTGTCTGTGTGGTACGTGCTACTTCATTTTTTTTAAGTAAACTGTATCTGCAAGTGGAAAACTAGTAATATCTTGGCATTCATATAGGGAGTGTTCCTGTTCCACGTGGTTAACTACAAGCCCCTGACCTACAACACAGTGTACACATACCCCATCTGGGGTGAAGCACTTGGCTGGGCGCTGGCCCTATCCTCCATGCTCTGTATCCCTGTCACTGTTCTCTACAAACTACTGCGCTGCAAAGGATCTTTGCGGGAGGTCAGTGTTCATGGGTGCTGGCATGTCTGTTCACTTGCATTCTCCTGTTTCTGTTTACTTTTGATCAGTAGGAATGCGTCTCCTTGGATGTTGCCATCACTCATCTATGAGTTATTTGTTCAACTGATTTCCTCATTAATCATTAAAGAGGACTTATTGCAGAAAACTAAATTGTCGGTCCCGTCCCAAAAAAACCATCTCATTGTGTTTTTACTCTGTAGCGCTGGCAGCACCTAACCACACCAGTTTGGGGCAGACATCACCTGGAGTACCTGGCCCCTGAGAGTGAGGCCAAACTGCTGCCCCCTGCAGGAACCAAGGGGACGCTGCTCTTTGAGAGTGTCATCTGATGAGTTGAGCTCCACAGAACAAAAGGGTCATCTTTGACAGCAGCAGACACGTACATACACAAACAAACTTACAGATTAATTACACACCCTTCCACTTTAAAACTGTAAGAAAGACCTGGACAATGGACCAAAGATTAGATTGGAGAAAAACAACCATGTATTCATCACATGCTGATATACCCTCTGCTCTGTTTTTTGACTCTACCTCGCTGGCTTGCCCCTCTCTTTCTGTTCCACTCCTGCGTTTGTGCTGTTCTGTCCTGTATTGCTTTGTCTGTGTGATGTAGTTTGTAGTTTGCAATATCTTCCCTTTCCACGCCTTCCTGTCCACGTTTTAACAGCCTCACTCAACCCAAGCAGTCATGCCATCTTCAATGAGCATAAACTTAAAAGAGTCTGATGAGTTGTTTTAAAATTAAAGACCTCATATCTGCTGCTGATAATGCCACGGTCTGAATGCTTATGTGTGCAGATGCACGTATGCCTGTGCCCTTGTGTTTATAACCCATGTCCCGTGTGTGTGTGTGCGTGTCTGTGTGAACGGGTGTTGCGTTAGACCGTGGGCCACGGTCTGTGGCGATGGTATTTTCCATTTATATGTAACATTGCCTTCAGCCATTGTTTCCTGCCAACTGTTCTCTGTGAATTAACTGTACAAAAAAAAACTTCCATTAGTTAAAAACTAAAATTATCATGACAAGCAATGCACCACCAATTCCAGCTATGTATTATAAACTAACTTAAGTATCCAGTGTGTTGTACGGTCTGTGAATCAGTGTTAATATTTGGAGGGGATGATGATTATTATTTCCACGTGAAGAGAAGGAGAGAAACCTCTGGGTGAGCTGTTTAAAGAGCAGGAGGCTGGGATGACAGAGAATTGCTGTGACGCCTGATGAGATGCAATAAATGGCCAGATAAAGATGGATGTAATGTGTTTTTATGGGTCTTTATTTACATTCTCATTCATTTTTATTCAAATAAGATATGTACAGAAAGTACAGAAAAACAAAAAACAAACTCCATAGATGTTCAACAACTGAATGTTTTCAACATTTTAACCTTTGTGTTGTCCTTGGGACATTTTGTCCCTGTGGACCACAGGTGTATGGAAATCGGGACGATTGTTTAGTATGTAAAAGATGGATGAAGCCACTGTGATGTCATTCAGTGGTCTTTGGACTGTTTGTTTTATGAAGATAAATGTTTAACCTCAGTTTGCTGCTCCGTTTGGTCCCATTTCATTAACCCTCATAATGTCCTCCCAATTTCCATACACCTGTGGTCCTCAGGGACCACCGTTAGTTAACATCCAGGTAGTTAAAAAAATAGCTTAGACCTTTATCAGTGTTCCTGCAGGCTCATCATTTATTTTGTTAGCATCTCATTAATTAAGAGTCATAAACATGTCTATTATACAGTTTACACATAAATACACATTGTACGCTGTCTAAACATTTGTGCACTATCAAATACAGTTCCTACATTTTTGAAAGCTAAAAAGTAAAAGATGAGGGAAAAAAGCAGGCAGTTATCAGCACACAGACAGCAAATCATATTCTCGTTTAGCTTCTAAACAGGCGCACTGTTTAGCTTCTGATAGGAGCAATAGCAGATGACACGCAGCCCAAAAATAGAAGGGAGCTCAAGATGTCAGAGCAACCACACATGTAAATAATGACTGTAAATAGACACGCATTTTGCTACTCTAAAATGTAACAGCTACTACACAATGCATGCCATTCAGCTCATTACTGCGGGCTTTGGGAAGGGGTACTGTAAGAATTAAGGCTTTTGTGGGGGGGGGCACAGCTAAACAGTAACACTGTTCAGATTTTATTGATTATGCGTTGGAGACTTTTGGCTTTTGTTGTCTTTAAAAAATATCAACTGGTAGATGCACGCCTCTCACATATGAGTGTCCCTCTGGGGTCAACCTTTCTTTCTAACACTCTGCTCTCTCACACTGGCTATAAATACAGACTCCTATTAGTCCACTGTTACATTCTCCCACTAAAGCCCCGCCCCTTCCCTGTCCCTTGCATGCACCACAGTGTGAGAGAGCTGCAGTGACGTCTTGCTGTATATCTCATTAGAGGATATCATAAAAAGCCTGTTGCCACAGCAACCGCTCCCTATGTTTCCATAGCAACCGGGCGCCATGTCAAGGTGGTTCATTCTCCCTTTACTGAAAGGGGAGGAGACGATGGTGAGTGATGAAACAGAAAGCAGCCTGAAAAGAGGAGGAGGAAGAGGGCTAAATTTGAGTGAATCTGACCCCTGCTGGTCACATCTGGGTGTTGTGGGACACATCCTGAAAGAAATTGGAAGATCCAGAGCTCAATGTGTGAAAATATCTCAAAGAATGTATTTCTTCAATGGCAAGTGATAAATAAACAGAGAAGTCAAAAGTGTGATAAGTATTGATGGTGACCCACAAGCACAAAATAAGCCTTCCACTGTTTCTTGCGAATATAAAGCACTGCATCGTGGACGGTGATAAACAGCCGGCTCTTTGGGATGGAGGCTGAGAAGAAATCTGCTGCTTCCAGCTGTTCCACGACACAAGCTGTTTTACCACACATAAATGGAGAGAAATATGCATGACAATGAGAGAGCATATTGTAGTCATCTAAATAAATATTCATGTGTCATTGTCATCTGACAGGGAGTAGCAGGGCTCCACTGAGGCTATGACCTTGTCGCATTCATTATGTAAAGCTTCAGTGCCTTAATTCAGCATTAAGGAGAACCCTCTGTCTCTGTTTTTGTCCGATGTGTCCTTTACCTTGGCAGCCTGCTAAGTAGATGTCCAAATCAACTTCTCCAAAGTCCCTGAAAATCTGGGAGAAAAGGACAAATCTCACGTTAGTTCTCTCTTTGTCATTCGTTAGAAAAATGATAACATTTCAGCAGGCACACACATACATTTTTCAGTGTCTTCACAGTGACTGTGTCCACAAAGCTGGTTGTGGAAATGTCCAAGATGATGCTGTGCGTGCCCGATTCGCAGGCCTGTTTTTTCTCTTCATCGCCGTGCCGAGAAAACTCTGTGATGTGGTCAGAACCTGTGGCTGAGTCTGAATCTGACATGGTTATGTCAGGTTCATAAGCCAAGTTCATTTGGCCTTTATGAAGGCCATCTGTAGCTGTTTCTGTCATGCTAAAGGCCACACTATTCCCTTTTCTCTCTCCTTTTGTTCTTTCAGAGACATTTTCTATGTTCATCTGGGACTCCTTTAAAGAGAATGTGCAACTTAGTGACTAAAGATTCTGACTTACTGATATATTTTGGAAGAATTAGCAAAACCTTAATTTCAGATCTCATACTTGTTTTTTTGCCTCCTTCTTGGTTTTCTTTTTCTCTTTCTCTTGTCTACGCTTCTGCTTTGCATCTCGTTTCTTCTTTGCTGATAGCAGCTTCCCAATCTCGATTCCAGTCTGCAACAAGAGCCAAGCATCACATTAAAACAGAAAGAGGAGAGAAAGTGAGAAGAGTGAGAGAGATAGTGAAAGCAATTGAGGGTGCTGTAGAAAGCAGAGGCAGATTTCACACATACGCACACAGAGCACAGATTATTGAACACGCAACCACATACCTTCTCCTGCAGGACCTCCAAGAACATCTCGGCATTTGTGTAGTAGATAGTTGCAGATGAACGGAAGATTTTAATTCCAGGAATCTCTTTTGCCTGCATGAAATCACACATTAGAAGGTTTAAGAAACTCACACCCTGCTCTTATTTCATTTGCAGTTTCTGCTTTCCTCAGATGTTGTTTGACTAAACGGAGCTCCTCTACCACTTAATGATTGTAAGTAGATGTAGCCTTACTCACAGTGCCCCACTACCAGGGTAAATCAAAACAAATTAGCATCTAGAGAAGGTCGTTGCACACTTGCCACCTTACTGCAATCGGTGTAAATGGAAAGGGAACAACCTAATTTAGTTAAAACTAAAAGTCTGCAATTCTGTGAAGCTGTGATTACAGCTCCAGGAGGAAGACATTTAGGAAAAAAATCTGAATGTTTAAACAAACATGCCAAGGTTTACTCTTGTTTTTTTGTCTAGGAAACCCTTTAATACAGAAGTGCTTAACAAACATGTTTGACCACCTGTCATAAAAACAAGAAAATTAAAATATTTTAAAATTTGGCAAAAGCTTGTTTGACACTAAAAGTTAACCAAGCACAACATTCAAAACTAACATGTCAAAGGATGCAACTAAGTAGCTGCAATTTGGCATATTAATAAAAAAATAATGCACTGGACTATTTTTGCTGCTTTTTTGGTTAAACAGTCAATTTGAAAAATCATGGATAACAACAATAATTATATTTAAGCATTAAAAATATGTTTTTGATTGAACAGCTTGGATTACAGAAACGTAACGACAGATTCTAGCCCCACTATTACTTTAAGGCATAAACACTGAGTGGTGGTCCAACAAACTTGTTGAGCACTCTGTTTGATTGATTGATTGATTGATTGATTGATTGATTGAATCTTTATTTTGAACATGTTGAAAAAGTATAAAAAAATAGAATTAAAAGAGACAAATGAACAAAGCAAATAAAAGGAAAACGAGCAACCACAACTCCAAATAACGTCCATGTTCAAAAAGGAGCAGGAAGAAGCATAAGCTTATTTAATCCCACCCCTTTTCCACTATCTAGTATCAATAGACTACAGAAATACCTCCTTGCAATTACATTATATGTTATGTGTAAATTTTTTTTAAATATATACACATATATGTTTCTATCTATCCATACATACGTATATACACACATACGCACATATACACATTTTCAATAACCCCATTAACACCTCAAGGATACACAGCCTACAATTATATATATATATATATATATGACGCGTTCATGCATCAGTCTAGTGGTGTCTTTCATTTCAACTAGTAGCCTTTCAGTCGCTTCCTTAAAGTTGATATTAGTTTAACTAGTGGAGAAGTGGAGAATTCTAAAACTCAGATTTTTAAAAATTTACCACTATATGCATGGTTAATTTCCTCAAGTAATATATTTATTGTTGTTATTAGAATTTGGGCCAGCTTAAACTTTATTTTATATTTAATTTACCTCCTTGTAGGTGTCTGTGTCCAGATAAAGTTCAGTGCCTGGTAAGTTGCCCAAGATTGAGTAACGTGGTCTGAAAGGCATTAAAAATGTCAAAATTACACCAACAATTTCCCTGCATCTCATTTAAGTACCTCATCGTGATTGCATAGACATTACTAATTAATAATTAGAGTTGTGTAGTTACAGTTGTGTTCTGAAGATGAAAGTAAGCATGGAAAACGCAACGGAGACAGCCAGGCCCAGGTCCAAGTTGAGCACGATGGTGCTTATGAATGTTACAAGCCACACCAGCTAGAGGGCGGTATGAACACGAAACGTTAACAAGGTCCACGGTGCCACAAAGGTCACACAGTATTCAGCTGAGCAGAGTGCCTGCTAAAGAGGATTAAGTCTTACCAAGTCAACCTTGTTGGTCTTCCACAGCAAAGAGACATCCATAAACTGCTTAAACATTCCTTTCAAGTTCACAAACACGATTGTGGATAAGACGGCCTGAGGAGCAAACACAGACACTGAAATCACGCATACCCATAAGCTCACCGGCTCAGAAACTGCCAGGAGGGATGGCGATCATTAGCAAGAAATGGCTCAGGAAGGAGAGTGTTACCTTGGGGAGATCTTCAAAGAGAGGACCTATTTTCAAAACTGTGATCAGCACAATGATGGAGGAAATCACCCCCGCAACCTTCCAAACACACACACACACACACACACACACACACACACACACACACACACACACAATAAATGTTCTCAAGATGACCATAAAAATCAGGTGTAATTTGTTGTAAATGTCTGTGCAAATGATTCAGCCAGTCCAGAAGTTTTCCTTCTTACCCTTCAATGTAAAATCATCATGAAGGCAGATGACCCTCAATCCATGACCCGAGGGTCTCTAATGACTTACCTGCCATACGTCTGTGTGTGTTAACAGTTTAAATGGATGTGTTTAAAATCTTATGTTTGTCACATCAAATACTGATTTTTTTTCCTGTATATTTGAAGATTAATTTATAAAAAAACTGTTCTTCCTCATCCTTTTTTCTTATTTTAGTGCCTGAATCGTTTGCACAGTTGCAGTTTGTGCTGTTCGATCACAGAAGTAGTTGTTTTTACTTGTGTCTTGCCCCCTGTGCTCTCCTGGACAAGACTCCGTGACAACGAGGAAGTTACAGAGTAACAATGAAAAAATCCACCAATAGTGTTACTGAGACCCAACGCGACGAGCTCCTGGAAAGACAAAAGGCAGACAAGACGCAACACTTTGGTTAATGGTATTGATGTGACTTCAGGTCAGCACAACTTTTGGGTCAATGACATCAGTGCACTCCTTATTAATTTTTTTGATCAGGCCAGCACGTCACTGCCACGCTGAGAGACGTGGTCGCAGTAGTTAAGATTCCTGATTGCAAAAAAGTGTGTTGGGTGTTAATTTTTTAGCAGTCTCGCCCTTAGAGCATTTGACTGTTCACACATTGCCTCTGATCCCAGTTAAATAGCTCTGCACGTGTGTCAAAGTGTGCAAACAACAGAATGATTTTTAATCAGTGATGGGAATAACGGCGTTACAAGTAACGGCGTTACTTTTTTCAGTAATGAGTAATCTAACTAATTACTATTCCTATCGTTACAACGCCGTTACAGTTACTAACAAGAAAAATAGTCCGTTACTATTTTTCAACAAACAGACGGTTGAAGCTGTGTTCAGCTTACCGCATCTTATATCAGTTGCATGGAAGTAGCTGACTATGTAAATAATGTGGACGCTACAGCTTTAAGCAGCTGCGCGCTCTGCAACAGGGCTCACTTAACACCCAAAGAGCCATTCGGAACCGGGTTCCACGCAAAAGAAAACACTTTTTAACATCTAAAATGAAGATAATACTGTATATATTGTTTTTTACATTTATGCTTTGTGTGAACAACTAAGGTGTGTTCCTTATGAAATCCATGAAGTGCTACAGAGAAAATTACATTTTATTTATGTAATTAACACATTTTGAACTCTTAAAGAAATATAACAAAAGGAAAGACACCCAGCTGAACTAAAATGATCCAG